TTAAGCAAGCTCCCTCTCCAGCCTGGAGCCTGAAGGGGAGGGGATTCCATCTCAGACCCTGAGATCACCACCTGAGCCCAAATGAAGAATTGGGGGCTTAACCTGGTGCTTAATCAGCTGAGCCACCCAAGCACCCCTACTCAGTTGCTTTAAATGGTACTCTAGTAACTAGCAAAGTTACTAGCTTCCTTCTTTTATATGTGATGGTGTGATAATATGTTAGTAAATACTATTCATTTTTTCTTCAGTGAATGATGCCAGAATAATTTTATAATCTATCTTGCAACTCCCTTTTAGGTAGACATTCTTTGGAACATCTGAAATAGGGTAGTTCAGGTGTGAAAAAAATCAAGAGCAGTTTCTCTTTAAATACCACACAACATATGGAATCTCACTTGTAGCTGGCAGCGATTTGGGGGGAAAAAAAATCAGAAATTTCCTCCATATCTCTCCAGAAATTGAATCCTTATGAGCCAACTTTGATTATTTTCTCATGTAAAAGTGAAATAAAAATGCAGCTGAAACACACTATTTATAGAATGCCACTATGTGCAACTGATTGCCAACATGAAGATATTTAGAGTAAAACTCTAAAGACACACTCTTTACAGGTCAAATTCTTTTTTTTTTTTTTTTTTTTTTTTTTAGGTGTGGCCAGAGAGATGAGTCCCTTTTAATTGCTGAGGAATTAACTTTGGAAATAACCTTCCCACTCCCTGCCCCTCCTCCCCACCCACACTCCTCCCCCAAGGCAAGCCCCATCCAGTTTGGGCAGGAAGCCACTTTTCCCTGGAACAGCCCAAGCAGGGATGGTGCGGAAAGCCACTCCCTGGGGACTGGAGGACTGCATCACTGGCAGCCAGAACAGCAGCAGGGAGCCTCAGAGGACGACGATGTGCTTGGCCAACCCCTGCATCCCGTAGTCTTGCAGCAGGGGGGACCATCCAAACCAAAACCAAATCCAAACCAAAATCTTTCCTACCACTATTCATTTAAATACAGTTAATTTTTGACACATCTCAGTGAAAGCCATTCTCCGATACATAAATACTTACAATACCAAGTGGATAAGCTTCTAAAGATTAATGGCCAAAAAACAGCAACATGGTTTCGGTGGTTTGAATCACTAGGACACAAGTATCTGGTGTCAGAGCTGGAAAGGACCCATTTGTACAACCTAATTCAGTACTTTCATTTCTATACATTAGGAAAACTGAAGTCTAGAAAGGCTTAACGATGAACTGGCAGTTGTTCAGGACTAGTTCCACCAAGTTAGGACTCCTCTATGTGATGTCAGTGTTCCTCCTACATGAAACCTACAGATGGATTTTGGATTTGGAATATCCAAATAGAGTCAGATTGTGCCACTACCTACAACTGGTTCACCTTTTTAAGTTCATTTATTTAATTAAAACTCAAATGTGTGTATTTACTAGTTGTCCCAGATCAAATAAGCTAACTTTGGGAAAAATTTTACATTTTAGTGAAATACAACATTTTTACGTAAAAACGGCCTTAAAAATTAAGCTGGGTAACTGGGAGAAATTACTAAGTTTAGCCCAATCCTTTGTGTTTATGTATATTGTAATACTATCTTCAACACAGACTTATTTTTTCTTAAAGAATTTTTCAGCATTTTTAGTTGTAACTACTTCAGTCTTTGGGCGAGATGTTAATTATAAACATCCTTCCACAAAATAGAAACATAATGGAATTTCTGTGTGATGATCCCTATATCTGATAGAAATTTCCACAATGTTCTGCTGGTACTTAAAACAAAAACCACATCCTAGGAATATTTCACTAATAGACCTATATTTAGACCAACGTTTCATACCATATTTGCAATTCATACACGAGACTTCATTTCTGATATTTACTAGACCATATTTTTATTGTCTATTGAACACAACTTTTGAAGTGTTGTGATTAAAATTTGGGTAAAACTCAGTCATTTTTCCTCCTGGCTACAAATCTCAGTTGAACTGGTTTATTTTTAGATTGCCTCAAAAAATTAGACGCTACTAGCGAGGGTCTCTAAGGTATATACTAATTCATATCCTGTGATAATAAAATCTTTTCTCTACCACAAGTACCATGTGGTACTTACAGGGACCATGAATCCTTGTTTCCCCCAGTTAGTCCCAGTTTATTCCTATTGCTCTAGAATAGTCTTATCCCTGTCACTCTTGAAAGCATCTCAGTTTAGATGGTAACTGATATGATTACTATAGCAATATTGCAATCAAAAATAGAGTATTTACAATCCTCCTATACAAAAAATATACTATACAAGAAAGATAAAATATGGACAAAACCCTGTTTAGAGTTTGCTGTGTGAGTCTGATGTTGCTGCTGTGATTTAAAACTGAATCCCTTGTCACCTCTACCTAGCTACTCCATTATTGTTCATAGTCACAATGAGGTTATTTTGAGGGTCAACACATTATTTGTTCCACAAAGGTTTCAATTTAGCCTTAGGAATGGTCACATGGGACTGCAAGGTCCATGTTGCTAATAATCTTTATCTTTTCTCTTTAAAAAGTTCTGACTCGTTTCCAAAAATCTATATGCTGTGGTTTCTGACCTTCCTTCATTACCACAGAACACAAAGCTGTTCTGCTTTCTCCTTTTTTCCTTATCATAAAAGAACATCTGAGGGAGTTCTGAGTTGAAAGAGCTTTCAAACATTGGCCAGAGTCTTCAGACAGTTGGCAGAACAGTAAAAATAGCTCGTTTACATCAGCCTCTGTGTCAGGAATATTTAAAAATAAGTAATATATTAATTTTTACATATCATATTACGTGAGCTTATAATCTTGAATTATTTAACTTGTGGTTTGGGGATGATCAAAGTTGATAGTAAAGAGTAATTCACAGAGCCATATGCAATTACACACTGTTCTGACAATGTAAGAGAGAAAAATGATGTCTCTATTGTTGCTGGATATTATATGATTACTGATAATAATTATAGTACTAATTTGCTAACTGAGCTCTGGCAAAAGAGCATTTTTTTCCCTATATGACCGTGGTGCACATCTTAGCAGTCACAGATATCTTGGCACAAGTGTTCTTTAACGAAAAATGCCCTTTCCTGTGGGCAGTCCAAGGACTCTTCCACCTAGAATTCCCCTGGATTGCTACAGATTAATAATGTTTCTCAGTGCATGTGTATGTGATGTGTGGTGTGTGTGTGTGCACAATAAGTGGTGTGTGTGTTGTTTGTGGCTGAACGGGGCTGTGTGCACGTGGGAAAGAAAGAGAAAGAAAAACAGGCTTTAACCACATCCATATCTGGAATGGCTCTTGCCAACCTAACCACCATGGCAGCTCACAGGGCAAGAAATGATTTAAGGGGCAAAAAAAATGTCCTTTGAACTAAAAGATAAAAGTTTATAACAAAGAAAATGAATCCAGTTAGAATGTTAAAGTAGAATAATATTCTTGGTATAATATATTTTAGATAAGAAAAAGAATATATGTGTAATTTTTCATATTAAGAAAAATCATGATCAAAATGTTTCATTTGAAGGGCACCATGTTAACACAAAAAACTCAATTAGGGGCCTACATGATTTTCAGAGTTCAGTTGGAAACATAAAAAAAATGACATGTCTTAGAGTCAAAATTGTGTTCTACACAGATGATCAACTCTTTATCAAGCCATAGCAAACTTAATCGTGTCAAACATTAGAGACCACATGAGTAAATGAAAATTAGAGATGAAGTGAGGAGATAAGCTTGTGGAACTTCACAGCTCAAAGAGATAATGAGACTCAGCCTCCCTAAATTCAAAGAGGATAAACTAGAAGGTTAAAAATGAACAAACAAAAATATGCCATTGAATAGCCTGTGATATTACCTTCATTTTTTTGGCTCAGAAAATAAGGCATCAGACAAGTGCACTGACATCTCCAAAGTGTAGTGTTTTTTAAGATTGTTGCCTAATATTGGTCTGCACCACTTTCAGTGCTCTTTAATTCTTATAACATTTTTAAAACTCTAAACTGAACTATGAAGATGAACACTAATATTAAAGAGCAGACCCTAATCTGGCCAAGTGTCAAGATTAGGTAAGGCACAAAAAAACTAAGACAAGATTATTATAGCATTATCTAAGAGACTCTTGAGTAGGAACTATATAGTTATCTTGATAATTTCATTAATATAATTATTATGATTTTAAAATATTTAAAATACATAGACACATTTGGCCTTTCCTTGTAGCTCCATATGGTCTTCTTGGAAGTCCTGACATACTTGGGAATGACCAACATCAGCCTCTGTCTTAAATTCCTGAGACTCACAAAGGTGTAGCTTCTCCCAGGATTTACCCTTCTGCTCTCATCCTTCTGCTCCCATCAATGGAACCCAGGCTCCCACCAGGTCACAGAGAGAAGGTCTGGCTTCATTTTTTTTCCTTTCTGGGGTTCTCTCAGAGACTCCAATGGCTCCTAATTATCCAAAGCCCTTGAGGACAAGTCATTGGTTAGGTTAGGAGAGATAGATGCTATTAACTGAGAGCTAAGAAAGTGACACTGTTTCCAGAATTCTCCTCCAAGCAAGGCACTTTAAGCCTACATTTTCTAGACACTTAGATAATCATTTGTTGCATGTATTCCATATGTCTATTGGCATCATGTAAGTCTGCTGCAAGTATACTGAATAATGCCTTGCTCTTAATAGGTTGGTAAGAAAAGATTGGAAATCTCCTCTGACATTTTGAAGAAGTAGGAATTTTTCTCATCATATTGGCCATGATTATATCAATATGCATACCAACATTTATAATATCAATTGTATCACATATTATATTCATATGTATATCAATACAGCATTTTTTTCTGTGTGTATATTTAAAAAAATAGTGTCTCAAAGTTTGTTGTAACTTAGTAGCCTGATACAAGAAAAGCAATTTTGTTTTAATTTAATAAACACAGAAAAACCGAATTTCTTTTTTTAATTAATTAATTTTTTTATTTATTTGACAGAGAGAGACACAGCGAGAGAGGGAACACCAGCAGGGGGAGTGGGAGGGGGAGAAGCAGGCTTCCCGCGGAGCAGGGAGCCCGATGCGGGGCTCAATCCCAAGACCCTGGGATCATGACCTGAGCCGAAGGCAGACGCTTAACGACTGTGCCACCCAGGTGCCCCAGACCTATTTTCTTCTATGTAAGAAAAAAGCACAAGAATTTTCAACACGGTAAGTTGTTGTTTTCTCTCTGTTTTTGTTTCATTTAATCCATTTTGAAAAGCGGGGGCCTCTTCAAATTACTGTACTCAACTTCTACATACATGGCTAAGTTCTTCCTAAGAAAAAGCTTTCTGTCTAAGTAATATGAATATCTAATAGCAGATTCCAATTCATCTTCACAATTTATGAAATTTTTTAGATTATGGTAGAAATACATTGTTTTTCTCTTAATGAAAACTGACTATCTGTTAGAAGAACAGATCCTAATGATTGCTCCAAAACTGGCCAATTTTAAGCCAGGAGCTTCTCACCTTGTTATAGAAAATGACTAATTCATTGTAAGTAGGTTTGTGTATGTGAAAAGAGAGACAGAGAGAGACACAAAGACACTGATAGAGGAAGTTTTGGAGTAACAGAAACACATTTTCAAAACTGACTTTTTTATTTGTACGTGAAAAAAAGATTTATAAATTGATTTAAAAACATTTGCAATTTTTGAAAAAGTATAAGGGATTTCAATTCTAAATTAACTGAAATTTTTCTGGCAAAAGGTTTTCTCAAGACTCATCGCTAATTAAAATTTTTTGAGTGAATATTATTTAGTTTATTTTTTGTAATTGTTTATTAAACTTTTAAGGGTCATCTTTAGGAACCACAACCTGGAGAAAAATAATTCGTAATAATGCTACATAATTTGGTAGGCATGCAATAAATACTAACTGATCATGAATCCATACCATACGATTCTAGGCTCTGGCATCTCATACTAAATTTGGTTAAATTATTGAAAGAAGAGTGTCAAGTATACTTCTTCCTTAATTCATTCTGTTATCTAACCTATATAATTTATAGGCCTTTTAAAGAATAATAGCAAACTGGGGCACCTGGGTGGCTCAGTTAGTTTAGAGTCTGCCTTCGGGTTGTGCTCCCAGGGTCCTGGGATCGAGCCCGAAGTCAGCCTCCCTGCTCCCTGCTTGGTAAGGAGCCTGCTTGTCCCTCTCCGTCTGCCACCCCCCCTGCTTGTGTGCTTGCTCTCTGTCAAATGAATTAAAAAAAAAAAAAAAAGGAATAATAGCAATCCTAACTTTTCTTTCTTTATAAGAAAGCAGACATTTTTTTGTGATCTATAGAACAGAGAACAGACAGATTCACATGGCTACTCATCCCTACAGATTTGAAAGTGCATGTGCTTGTGTATGTTCATATTAGTGTGTGTGTGTGTGTGTGTGTGTGTGTTGCAAAAAGACTTGTCAAGAGGACTTGTATGGTTGACATAGAGAAGACAGCACTTATTCTTCAGGCAATTTTCACTAACTTCCCTAACTCTTCTAGAGTTTTCAAGAGGATATTTTTGTTCTGAGATCAATGGTTACATTTTGGTCCAGGAAGATCTGTTAACAAAACAGGATCCAAATAAATGTAGATCCCATAAAAAAAAAAAAAAAAAAAAAAAAAAAAAAAAAAGAATGCTGTGCAAAAGCATATTGAATTCATTTCTTTATTTTTTTCTCCTCAAGTAGTCAAAACCCACCAATGATTTAAGCCAGCAGATAAAATCCTAGAGCATATTTGGCCCCGGAAATAAAGTCCTCATGTATATTTGGCCCCAGATAACCTGAACACACTGAGTTTATCCTGTGGACACAGCCAGTGATAACAAACCATTCATGAAGCAGACCCAGGTCAGGCATGAAGCAAATGAGAGGTATCACGGACTCTGACACTTGAAAAATCTTTTGTACCAGTTATGTCCACTCTTCCCACCTCCAATCACAAAAACCATTTTTTAAAATTAGACTTTATCTAATATTGTTTAGGACTGATCATCACTGCAACAGGAAAACTTGAGTTATCTTTCTTTTTTCTTTTTTTAATTAATGGGCTTGGAAGCCTAAAGCCCAAATGGAGGTGATACCACAGAGTACAATTTCCTGATGCTATTGGAAAGAAAAGCAATTAATTTAAAAGTACTTTTTTATCTTAGTATCTATGGCAAAATGTCAAGCTTTAGCAAATGTTAAATGCCATTTCTTTTAGCCTATGCTCTTGAATTGTTACTGTTTTATTAGAGGTTATCAGTGACCTAGATTAGTGGTATGAATGATTTGACAACTACCTCTATGTCTTATTACTTAAGAAAAAAATATACATTGCTTAAAAATCTCATTTACTAGAATAAAAAATGTTAAGTAGTAGCAGCAGTAATTCATGAAAGTATGTTTTATTGATCAGTAAGTTTTTATTTTAAGTACAAGCCATTTCCCTTTAGGTTGAAAGTCTTGACTTTGTATTTATTTATTTTTGATAAAACCTAGTGCTTTATTTGTTTTATTTTTTATTGCTTTTTGTAAATGAACATCCCTGAGTTAACAGTTTATGTATCGATGTGCTATTTAGATATTAGAAGTATTGAATTGGAGACACCTGGGTGGCACTGTCAGTTAAGTGCCTGACTTGACTTTGGCTCAGGTCATGATCTCAGGGTCATGAAATCAAACCCGGTGTCAGTCTCCATGCTCAGCACGAAGTCTAAGACTCTCTCTCCCTCTCCCTCTGCCTCTCCCCTCTGCTCTCTCTCTCTCTGTCTCTCTCAAATAAATAAATAAATCTTAGAAAAGAAGAGAGAGAGATTGAAGTGAAGTTATGGAAGATAGAATTTGGAATTCCTAGTAGTCCCGTAATTTGAATACAATTTTAATATACCTCTTTTCTTGATTGTACTTATGTTTTAGAACTCTGGCTGACAGGTAAGAAAGGAGGGAAAAAAGAAGTATATTAGTAGGAAATTCTGTTGCTTAAGATTTCTAAATAACTTTTTGTTACATTTTGAAAATGCTTAAATACTGAAATCTAAGATAAACTTACAGTCAGGTCCTTCTATTTTTGTCCTACCGCATGTTCTTAAAATAGAACAAGTTATTTTTATCATTTTATAATCAAGTGATATGATATTTTTGCTATTCCAAAACCTCAAATTAGACACTTCAGAGATAGAGGTATTTTTACATACAGGCTGAGTATAAATAAGGAAGAATAAGTCTCAGATCTTTGCCTTAAGAGAAAGCAATTTCCAAAGCATTTAGTTCCATCTGATCATGTTTGAGTGTTCCCTAGGGAAGAGAAATCAATAAAATTGTCTATCTCAGAAGTCTCCATATATATTTTAATACTTTTACCTGTTGGTAGATTGTTTCAATTTCAAAGTTTTATGCACCAGCCTATATTGAACTCTTGCAAGCCCCAATCTTCTGTGCAAACATGTTACCTAAATTCAGCGTCTTTGGCAGATTTTAGAGCTGCAAGTTTGCTTGTTTGCCTATGTTGCTACAGAAACATTATTCCATAAGGTTACCTAAGACATTTTCCCCCAAGGACCTGTAGTATCTTTGGGTTCTAATTCAAAACAATGTTATCTATTAAAGCCCTGTATTTATTTGTAATCTTTCCAATACTTTTTTTTTTTCAGCTTAAAGAGAAAATGTTTCACCTTGTAAAAATAATATTTAAATATTTTTATTCCTAGACAGAACATAGTCTTTCTGGAACTTAAATAAAAAAGAATTCCAGGGTATGGTGTCTGTCAGAGACATATTGAGCTGTGCTTCCATCTATTATAAAGCCTGGATAGAATTTCCCTTTGCTGCTATAAATATTTCAGAGCTTCTGGAAGCTAAAATATCCCCAAGTCAGATGAGACTGTTGATCAATTTTAACCAAGTTAAAACAGATCACACTTAATTATAGCCTTAGTCTTCACTGTGGAGAAAAGTCTAATAATTTAAATGATAGTAATAGCAACCATTTAGACACTATACTAGATCTCATTTAATCTATACAACAGCATCATTAAGTGGGTACTAAAATTTCCCCATTTTCTAAATAAGAAAACTGAGATTGACAGAGGTTGAGATATAGTCCTAGTCATAAAGTTATAGATGGTTGAGCCATGATCTAATCTTGTCCATTCCAGAGACTGTAGTCTTTACCGCCATCCTATACTTCCCATGTTCCCCATTGTAGGTGGCTTTAAATTAATTTACAGTCCAGAATTATTTACTTTTAAATATCTGGAAAAGTGAGAGAAGATACACCGAGAGTGGTCAGTATCTCGTGATTGGCCGTGGAAGCTCAAGACAAAATAAGAAAGTTTTTATGCCTAAATATAATTTAAAGAGGCAGTTTTGGAGAGGAGGAGAGAAGAAATTTCCCTTTGCAATGAAGCTGTTCCAGAAGGACCACCTTAAACTTCCATTGCTGATGCCTTGAGTATGTGTGTGCATGTGTGTTTAGGCTACTCAGTGAGCGACCAACCTCAGAAATTTGGCTCTGATCCATCCTGTGCTGCCAATAGAGACCTGGCCGGAAAATGAACTCCATTAATTAAAGTGCAGAGTCAAACATGGTTTTATTCAGAGGACCAGACACAAGTCAGAAAACATGCATGATATCTTTCACATTAGATAAAAAGGATGCACAGAAGCTAAAATCTGACACTTAGACAATTAAGTTTTATTGAGAAATGTTCCAAACTGTCTAATCTTGAAGGAAAGTGTTACTCCAGCAATGTTTGTATAATACAAATCAATTAGTATCTAATACAATTAAATCCTTCTATTTTAATTAGTTACAATACAGTGTAAATCCAAAAAAAGAGGGGGCAATAAAGGGAGGCAAGAAGGCCATAGGAAGGGAATCCAATGGGGTTTGCACAAAAAGGTGGGACATTCTCAATAGGTAAGAACTTGAGGTTGAAATAACAGGATAAGCACTTCTCTGGCATTCAAGGGCAGGGGAAGGGTGGGTTAAAGAGCTAGAAATAGTAATTATTAACACTAAACCAGAAACAAGTTATAAGTATATCCATTAAAGTTTTTAAGTTTCTAAAGAAGAAATTTTGATTTCTTTTTGAAATAGCAAGTACCAAATTTAAAAAAAAAAAAAGGTACCTATACTTTGCTTTTGCTCCTAGCATAGCACTGTTTTTTGCATAATCCAGAACAATGCCGCTC